ATATAGGATGTCCTAAAAAAATGTGTACACAAAAAATGTGTAGTTATAAAGCCAGTGTTTATTAAAATACATTTCATTTTCAAAATGTTAACAGAATCTACAGACACCCTGAATACATTTTTTTGGGACACTCTGTATATTCTCTACAGTTAGACTGCTTGAGTGTGAAGCCATTGCTTTCAGTTACTTAATATTCTAAGACCTCAGTGTTCTCATATATAAAATGGGTATAGCAATAGTATTTTATAGCATGGGTGTGAACATTAAGTAAAATAATCTATTTAAAGCACCAGGCCTGGCAATAAATGTTATCCATTAGTAATGTACATTCAAAAATATAAAATTGAGAAAAACACTGTACAAGTGACCAATAAACAAATCATTGTTTGTAAAATTCAGTAAGTAAAAATACCTAATATCTGTCTCTTTCTCTCCATCTATGTTTTCTTAGTAGTTCCTGAATTTTGATCTCTATTACACTTAAAAAAAAACTGCATTAATTCCTTTTCAATGAAACCCAACAAACCTCAGGCATACCATCTAGTCATTACCAAACATAGGAATCTGGGTATTTACTGTATCTTTTTATTTTTATTTATTGATTGATTTTAGGGAGTGAGAAAGGGGAAGGGAGAGGGGGAAAAAGGAGAGAGGAAGGAAGGGGTGGGGGAGAGAGAGAAACATTGATTTGTTGTTCCACTTATTTATGCATTTATTTGTTGTTTCTTGTTTGTGCCCTGACCAAGGACTGAATCAACATACTTGGCCTATCAGGCCAGGGCAGTTACTGTATCATCTACTGGAAAAATTTTTTAAGTTCTCAACTAGTCTAATAACAGCATGGTTAAACAAACTTTAAGAACCAAAAGTTTAGCCTGGTCCGTGAGGCTCAGTGGTTGAGCATCAACCCATGCATGAAGAGGTCGCCAGTTCAATTCCTGGTTGTGGGACTGATCCCCAGTGGGGGGCATGCAGGAGGTGGCCAAACTATGTTCTCTCACATTGGTGTTTCCATCTCTCTCCCTCTCCCTTCCTTTCTCTCTAAAATCAATAAAGGGAAAAAAAAATTTTATAAAAAAAAAAACACAAAAGTTTAGAACAAAAATAATGCATAGTAACCACAAAAGATTGAGTTATCAAATTAGTATTTTTTCAATTAAGTTAGATAAGGAATGAATAATGCTTAGCAGAAGTAAGTATACTCAATAATATGTGGGTTCTACAATTATCACAGATCTCCTTCTCTGATCCACTATATTTGCTACACACATACTCACACAAATAGCCTGCAAAATAAATAGGACATACCTACAGATAAGGCATTTGAAAGTGTAAAAGTGTTATCATAAGATACAAAATTACACATACAGGCATACTTCGGAGATATTGGAGATTTGGTTCCAGGCCACCATAATGAAGTAAGTATCACTATAAAGCGAGTTGTAATCTTTTTCTTTAGGGGTCTTGATTTCAATCAACCAAAAAATGGCAACACCTGTGAAGTGCAATAAATCGAGGTATGCCTGTATATAATCTTAAACTTGAAGAAAAGCTTTGAGGGGCTTGTAATCCTATTGTTTCCTATTTGTGAGTTCTACTAATGCTCTTAAGAGCATTTTCTTTTTTATCCTCACCCGAGGATGTTTTTCCATTTTTGTTCAGATAGAGTGGGAGACAGAGGAAGAGAGAGACAGACAGACAGACAGACATCGATATGAAAGGGACACATCAATTGCCTGCCTCCTGCAGCAACCCAACCAGGGCCAGGGGAAAATCACCACCAAGGTACATGCCCTTGACCAGAATTGAACCCGCAATTAATTGGTCTGCCGGCCGACACTCTAACTACTGAACCAAACCAGCCAGAGCATCTAAGAGCATTTTTAATAGATTATTAACATCACGTATGAAGATTTTCAGAAAAGTTTTCTAGCTACATCGACTTTGAGAAATCTTGATACCAATGTTATGAACGATTTTCCTTTAATTCTTCATTTTCTCAAAGCCATTAGGTTAGTTGTGAACACGTAAACTCTATACATATTCTGAAATGCATTATAGTTCTTTGAGCATTAATTAAGTTGTCATTTAGTTTTATGGCACTCTGGATACAGATGGATAAAACACTAATAATAATGCTAAAAGTACTACCACCTACCTATAATTTTTAAACCTAAAGAAGGCTTTCTGGATCACATTTATATTTTCAAAAGGCTTTCCAATCTAACAAATCTCTTTATATAAAACATATATCCCACATTATTCACAAAATGAACTACAAATAAGACATATGTAAATATAGTATTTGTAAATGTATAGTATACATAAGTACTGCTGCAAAAATATCTGGGGTTTAGCAACATAAATATAATCAGCCTAGGTTCACGCAACATTTGACCCTAGGAATGCAAGCATTCGCAAAAAAAGCATAATTTCCAGAATTTTCGTCAAACATTTAAGTCCAACTGTATACTGGAAAATACATATTTAATTGCAATAAAGAATGATGTAAATCAACAAATGGTTAAAAAGGAAATGAATACATTAGCTATAAAAGCCATTATTAAATCTGTATTGTCTGCGAAAAATATGAAATTTTTAGGGGAGTACATTTTCACCTTTAATTATATGACACTTGCTGTAAATTCTGTATTTTTATTGTTGGTACATTCTTAGGGCTTCAAATAGAGGGAAAAAATTTTAAGTAAAGTTCGAAGGACTATAATTTTTGTGCTTTTTAAATATAATCTCAGAGCCCTGGTCCGTGACTTAAGTGGGTTAGAGCATCATCCTGTACACCAAAAGGTTGTGGGTTCAATCCCCCAATCGATATTCTCTCTCACATCAATGTTTCTCTCTCTTCCCTCTCTCTCCCTTCCTCTCCCTCTAAAATCAATAAAAATTTTTCCTCAAGTGGTGATTTAAAAAATAAAATCTCAAATACTGATCATTAAAATAAATTAGTATGCTGAAAGTGCTTTCCCACCTAGTTCTCCAAATTAGTAAATACACCTAATTTTAAATATAATCCATGTTTCATGTTCATTTTAATTTTATAAGCATATATTCCCCTAATTTTAAATCCTTAAGTTTGGTTTTCTTTTAATGTTACAAAAGAAACATGGGGTTGGGGGTGTAAATATATGTGGAGATATCAATGCCTAGATTTCCAGCATTTTTTCTGAAGTAAATTCTTCAAAAAGATTTTAAAAAACAACACATATTATTCATAAAAATACGAATCAAAATGCCTTCAGGTTGGAATAAAAAATATATAGTGGAATCAGCATTTCTAAAAATAAGACAAACTACTAGAAACTTCTTCAGACAACAAAAACAGGAATTTCCCTTTGGGCCACTTAAAATAGGGCAGGACTAGCACCTTACTGCACCCACACTAATCAAAATTTCCAAAATATGGATCCAGTTCAACTGCCTGAATGCTTTGATGACTCTCCCTGCCCGAAAGACTATTAATTCCTGACGGTCATTTTCTCATGTACTTCCTTAGAAACCTTCCCTCCCACTCAAGTAGATTTTCTTAAAAACCAACCCAACAAAACGCAAGTCTTGAGTCGTGCGTGGATGTGGAGTGATGGTCTGGGGACTCCTGTGCGCTCACCCGAGAGAAGCCTGGGCCTCCTATCTGGCTAGGTTCCATATCACTGAACCCCAACTTTCTACAGCTGGGCCTTCCTCTTCCTTCCTGTTTCACCTGCCAGCTGCCAGGCTGTTGACTAACAACTACCACAGCCGGGCCGCCGGCTCCGGGCTCCCAGTCCCCGCGGTGTTACCCCAGCAACCTGGCCATGCCGACCGCGCCTCAACGCGCGGTGGCCCCGCCGGGGCACGGCTACACCTGCAAGGCTGTACGCGCTCCTCGCCGCCGCACGCTCGGCTGAGAACGCGCAAGGGAGTTCCTACTCCGGGCGGTGGGTTTCCCCGGCGCAGCACGCACACCGCAGGTGACAGGGCTTTAACAGTCTCCGGGAGGAATCCCCAGCGTCCCCGGCGCAGCTGCAGCCGCCTCACTTTCCGAAAAGCTTTCTCCTCTATTCTCCGAAGTCGGAGAAGCAACAGCCTCCGGGGCTCACCTGAGGACTGAAAAGGTGCAAGCAGTCGCGGGGAGAAGGCAGCGCTGTGCAGAAAGAAAACATTGTAGGGGATTAGGAGAAACCCGCAACACAACGACTAATCAGGGAACCCCGTCGCCGCAACACCCCGGCCCGGGAATTCCTCCTCCTCGGACAGGGATCCCACCCCGCACCGCGCTTCCAATCCGGAGAGGGAGGTATCAGCCTCCAGGGCATCCGTCCACCTCCCACCCGGGCGAGGGGCGCCGCACAAGAGAAGGAGGGTTTGCATCCCAACCGAGCTGCTTTGTGCAGAGCTGTCACCCGAAATCCGCCGCAGCTCCTACGGCCGCCCCCGGAGTCGCGTGCGCCTCACCTCCGAAAGCGTGCGGGACGGGGCGCGCCGCCCGGGGCCGCGGGCGCCTCTCCTGAGCCGCGCGCCGCCGCGCGCACGGGACTGCACGATCCGCGCCGCGAGCCGCAGCCCTCGCTCGGCCGTCGCCGCCGCCGCTTCCGCCCCTGTGACGGCGTGACCCGGGGTGGGAGGAGCCGGCGAGAGCAAGGAGGAGTAGGGTCCCCGCCTTCGCCTCCGCTGCGAAGTTCGCCCCGCCTTGGCCATTTCCGCCGCTGCGCTAGTGGGAGCGCCTGGAGAGGAGGCGGGGTCTAGACGCCTATAAGTGGGTGGGCCCGGGGGCGGAGACTGAGGAGGGGCACCTGGGAAGGAGGCGGGATCCAGGCTCCGGTAAGGGGGTGGGACCGGGGATGCGGACTGAGGTGGGACGTCTAGGGACGGGGCGGGTCAGGGGCGGGTCCTGAGGCGGGGCACCTGGGGAGGGGGCGGGGTCTGGCTGCCGGAGACGGGTTAGGCGAGGGGGCGGAGACGAAGGCGGGATGCGGGAGGAGGCGGGGCGCTCAGTCCCTTACTTCCCGGCCCCTGGCGGTTCAGAGCTAGACCGTGAGGCGTCCGGCGGCTCGCGAGGTAGGTTCCCCGTGGGCCAGAGAAGGTGCGGGTGGTTTGCTAGGTGTGAGCCTGTGCTAGGATTCCGGAATCGGGCAACCTAACAAGGGTGGACAGCATCGTGAGATAGGATTTAGAGAGCAGAGTGGGATCTGGGAATAACGAGGTTGGGCCGTGAATGACCTTTCTGTGAGTCCGTGATTTAAAGTTAAACCAAAACCTTGTTGTGTGTTAATGATTGTAAAGAGAAGTACTTGCTAGGATAGTGAGTGATGCACTAGGGGCGGCCTGGGTGGGGGATAGGAAACGGGGGTGCTTTAAATATTGTCTTGCTCCATGGTGTGTGTCTATGTAAAAATTCACTGAGCCATACTCTTAAAGTTTGTGCACTTTGGGAAAGTTATCCTTAAATTTAGAAAAATTTAAAAATAAAAATGAAGCAGTAACGTTTTTTTGAAAGGTGGGGGTCCACTTGGGGAGGACTTTAGCGACCAAACTAGCACATCAATTTCCGTGAATGGGTAGAAATACCAGTGAAACTTGCCTTCCCTGATTCTTACAATTTGCACTTTTATCTTGTTTTAGAATGAAACTTTTTATTTCTCCAGAAAAGGACATGGACAAGTTAAGAAGCTGTTAGAACATTTAAGAAATGATTGAGTTATATTCATGGTGTTATATTTCAAGTTTGTGTGAGAGGGATAGAGTTGTACAATCCAGGTCCCCTCCCTATATGGTAAAATTATGCTTACCTTTTGTTTTAAGTAGAGGACTGCTTAATGAAGTCTCAAGCCCAGTTTCCAAAATTTCAGCTGAACATGGAGATAAGATAAAAACAACTGTCTTTTGCTTTTCTGTTCCTAATATCATCAGGTATTCCCCCTTAACCTCTCAGAAAACTTGGAGAGCCTTGCAAAAGTGATTTGTTAACAAATTTTGCCAAGAAGTTACAAGGGATGTGCCTTCTCCTTAAAGCCTAAGCACAGCGGTGGGAGCCAAATTTTGTAATAAAGGGAACTTTTCCTGAAATACCTGCGTTGTTTGCTATTCTCATGAATAAATCATTAAATTAGAGCGACCAATAATAGCATACTAATAGAATCCAAACTACTGTATAGAAATTGTATAAATATAAAGGCAAGACAGCCTGGCTGATGTGGCTTAGTGGATTGTGGCCCTCCCCTGCAGCCCCCACCTGCACCCCGTGGACTGAGAGGTCTTGGTTCAATTCCCTTCAGGGCACATGCCTGGGTTGTGGGCTTGATCCCCTGTAGGGTGGTACAGGAGGCAGCTGATAGATGTTTCTCACATTGATGTTTCTGTTTCTCCCTTCCTCTCTCTAGAAAATCAACATATTTAGAAAAATAAATAAAATAAAAAAGCAACAAGACAGATATTAACTACAGAATAAAAAAGTTGTACAGCAAAGGAAAAGAATATTACATGGCTTAGCTATGAAAAGTATTTACCAAGTCACAACAAAGTGTACTCCACGTATTTAATAAAAAATCTGCTATATCTTGTTTGAAAGGATAGGAAAAATGAGAAGGGTGTGTGTGTGTGTTGGGAGGTTGAAAGAAGGCTAAATGCTTATTTTCTCTAGAAGCTACCTAGACATGAAAAATCAAGAAGATACAGAATAAGCTTGTTATTTTGAGATATAGTTCGATTTCAAGACTTAGCTACAAGAGTTAAAGATGGTTGCCTCTCATGTGAGGGGGAGTTATTTTTATAACTGTTGAACTCTAAATTGTTTGCATTGTAACACTGATAAAAAAAATATGAAGTAATTTAAATTCAGTAACTGAGATGCTAGAAAAAATTCTCTGAATTTACAAAAATTATAAAATGTGAAATACCTGTTTGTTTGCTTATTTTTTAATGTGTTTTTATTGATATTTTTAGAGAGAGAGGAAGGATTAGAGAGAGAGAAATTTCGATCTGCTGCCTCCTGCACACCCTCTACTGAGGATCAAGCTGGAAACCCTGGCATGTACCCTGACTGGGAATTGAACTGGGACCTCTCAGTCCATGGATGATGCTCAGTCCACTGAGCCACACAGGCCAAGCGCCTGTTTGTTTCTTTTCTCCTCTTCTTTTTTTTTAACTTAAATGCTTTAACACTAATGTTAAGATACAGTTAAATTTATTTAAAGGTCATTCCTAATGTGTAATATGAGGTTGCCTTTGCTATCAGACTCACTGAAAAGTAATTTTTGTATGGCTTTTCCTGGGATGTTGAAATATTTTTTAAAAACCATACTTCTGGTCCAGCTGGTGTGGCTCAGTGGTCAGACTTCAACCCATGCACCAAGGTGTTGCCACTTCGATTCCCCGGTCAGGGTCAGGTTACATGCCCAAGTTGTGGGCCAATCCCCAGTGGGGGGCATCAAGAGGCGGCCAATCGATGTTCTCTTTCATCGATGTTTCTATCTCTCTCTCCTTCCCACTTCCTCTCTCTAAACCAGTAAAGGGAAAAACAAAAATAAAAAAACCCATACTTCTTAGGATAATGTTTTTTTTTATCTCATTCCTTGATAGAATTGCAATGCCCTTAAATGTCAACATTGCAGATATTTTCCATTTAGGCATTAGAGACATCTGCTTCGAGGCAAAGGTATCTACAAAACTATGGATGCTATAAGAACTTCACTTGATATTAAAGAGTACCCCGATACTGAGGTACAGAAAAACCGAGTACTAACTCTGGAAGAATGGCAAGAAAAGTGGGTGGAACGCAAAATTACATTTCATCAAGAACAAGGACACCAGTAAGAAATGTTTGGTATATAACAGAAATGCTCTATCAGAAACTGACTTTGGAAATAGAAATAATAATATAGGCACACATTATGTGACTGATTTTAAGATACACATTTTTAGTTTTTCACATTTTAGCATCTCTGAAATCAGAACACATCTGTGGCATGTCATAGGAGAATTGGCAATGTTCACTCTTTCCAAGGAGTATAAATAATGGTGTGACTTACAACTGGAGGCATTTTAGATTTATGAAATATGGCTTTTTAAAGCCCTTGTAGCATCTATGTATTGGATTGCATAATTATACATACAGCAGATGCTCAAGTGACATTAATGCTTTTATCTCTTTATACTGAAAAGTGGTGGTGTTCTGACCTTGCTTTCCAATAGCATGTGTTCAAATGTTAAAATATTATCTATATGGTAGAAGAAAAGTTGAAAGAAATTAGTAAGTGAACCAGGATGTTGAGCCACATGCTAGTAGTAGTAGTAGGCTTTGAATAGTAAATCATGGGCCAGTGCTGAATAAAGTGGTCATGTCAGACATTCCTTGTTCCAGGCAACTACCCTGCCCTCTCAGGGGATATTATTATTATTATTATTATTATTATTATTATTATTATTGAATTTGCGCACTGAGTGGTAGTTGGGGCATCATTCCAGAATCACTGTCTGGGTTATCTCTGTTGCATCGAAGGCCTTAGAACAGTCACATCTTTACAAAGGAATTAACTACAAGAATAACTACAACTCTTCAGAGCTCCTTCTTGACACCTGAGTACACATTTAGAGAGCTTACCATAAAATGAATGTTGAAAAACTCAGTGCATCCAGAGGCTCTGCCACGCCTTACACACACGTAAACACATACATATATACATTTGGGAGATTAATAAAGAATTCGCAAAACGGCAACCAATGAAAATTTTTATTTTTAATTACTAATCAGGAAAGCCCCAGATTTGAATCAGATTACCATTCACTAGCTATGTTATTGAGCAAGTTTTTAACCATTCTGTTTCTTATGTCAACTGGAAATTATAATTAATGGTATCTACTTTGTCAAGTTGTTGGGAATAGTGAGATAATGCATGAAAAGTACTTAGCATCATACAATTGTAGTCCTTTCCTTTGTGCATTGGCTAATTTAAAAACAAAAAAAATTCTTTCTCCCCAGGCTGTTAAAGAAGTATTTGGATACTTTCCTTAAAGGCGAGAGTGGACTGAGGGTATTTTTTCCTCTTTGTGGGAAAGCAGTTGAGATGAAATGGTAAGAGCAGATAAGCATTAACACACTTTCTTTTCTTGATGAAAAGTACTTGTAGCTGAGAGCATTTATGAAATGGCTGCTATAACTTAAGTTTCTAGTGTGGCCATGAAATTGAAAACATTTAAACTATATTATTAGACTTGATCTTAACGAACTGACTGAACCAGAAAAAATAATAACTTTGGAAACTACCTGCAAGAAAAACGTTAACTCTATAAATAGATTGTTTTATTGTCATGTCATAAGTGATAATAACAGTCTAACTCTAGCGGAGGTTTTAAGACAGGATTAGGAAATGGTATGATGAAACAGCCAATTAAATGTGATTGTTAAATATTTGGGGTTTAAAGTCATTTATAATAAAAACATCAGAACTAAACTATTATATATAATTGCATATACGTTATACTAGAGGATTTTTTAGTTATGTAACTAATTTGTATATGGAGGTCTATATAGATACCAGATATGAATAAACTACGAGCTGTGGCCCAAAAAGCATTAAAATAAAATGTTTAAGATATTTTCTTAGCTTTTTTTTTAAGGGAAATATATTCCAATATTATCCAGCCTATGCCAGTCTATAGTAGGCTATGTTTCATTTCTCCATATGTTGAATGGAAATAAAAATTCACACAGCTGGTTTAGACTCTTTTGTTTATATTTGGTAACTTCAAAAAAAGTATGAAGAATATAAAAAGAAATATTCCCTGTATGTTAACGTATAAACTTCCTAGAAAATATGAAAGACAAGTTATTGCTGTGTTTGTTTTAGAACTATAAACAGTTCATGCTCTGACCACATTGAAAGTGTGTAGTCTTGTGTAGGTAACACGTGCAGTCACTTCTGCTCTACCTCTTGTTTTAAAAATGTGAATTTTGTTCAACTCCATTGATACATTAAGGAATAATTTGAGCATGACATGAATGTCACATTTTCTTTGTCTGCAAGAAACATGAGGTGAAAGCAGATAACTATGCCCAGTGGAACCAAGCTATGTATGAATAGACAAAAGAACACAGGCACACACCTCAGACCTCTCCTAGAAACCTCAGTTCACCCTGTATACTAAGTCACTCCCTTCCACATCTATAAATGATTCCCAATAATCCTCTGTCCATTATTTCACAATAACTTGAAAACTGTAGCCCTTCCAAGGCCCAGTTCTACAAGTAAACGTCTGTTCTTTCTCAAGGTCAAGTGCCATGTTGTAGTATTTGTATATTATAAAACCATTTAACATGTGTAAAACTGTGCCACCATTTCTATTAGGTTCCTGTCTTTTTCTACTGACAAAGTTTTTTTTTCTTATGTAATGTCTTCCTGGTTTATTTCTAAATTTTGTTTAATTGTATACTGAGAAAATACTGATTCACAGAGGTAAGTTATAGCAAATGTGTAAAAGCTTTTTTAAAACATTATTTTTAAGTTAAGATATAATCATGGGGGCAGAAGGGAGGCAACTGGTTATCAGTATTTGTTTTCAGAATAAGATGGGAGCATCTTTCCTTTTCCATGTGTTTTATCTTTGATACCATCATTCTTGGGTTAGAACTAGACAATTCAGCATAAAGCCTTGGGTTTAAATTGTTGGAATCAAAACATCTCATTCTGATCACTTGGTTAATTTTTTTAAAAATAGGGATGGGAGGGAGGGGACTGTGCCCCAAAAGGAAGGGTGTGTGCAGTAAGGATTTAGAAATACTTTGAAAGTTCATAACCTCATCAGAAACTGTCTTTACACTCCTGACCTTATAGATGAGTAACAAAGAGATGAAATAAATTCTTGGGAATTAAACCATGTTATTTTTTAATTTGCTAATCCCCCCCCCCCCCCCAGCATTCTGTACATCTTAAAATTGTTACTGTGGAATCACTTTCTGGAAAAATATCTTTGTCAAACAAAATTATTGGCCTTGTAGGAGCTGAAGTCAGTTACCTTTTTGGTGAATTTAAGTGGACTTCAGTGAGATTATAGTTCTATTGTATATTCTTAAAGATAATTTTTTTTAAACGCCCAAAGAAAATCCACTCTCCAGATCGAAAAACTCATCTTTGGGGTCAACAGGAGGTCAGAAGGAGCTAGCCTGGCACCTGGACTCTGCCCAGCCACAGCAGACAGATTCCAACAGGAAGTGTATTTAAAATCTCCAGTGTACTGGTAGGGGTGTGGGTATGAGCTAGGGTTGGTTATTAAGATATAGACTACTGTATTCTAACCAGTGGTTGCGGAGGAAGGTGCCTGGAGAAAACAAAGACACTGTTCCCTTTTTTGAAATAAAACTAACACATGAAAAACAATTTTTTATTCAATAACAGTAGGGTAGAATTTCATTGTCCCTGGCCACAAGGGACCAGTTCCACTGAGAAGTGAACAGTGGGGACTCAAAATTTTGCAAACACTTGGGGAAAGGAAAAAATGGCTTCCCGTTAGTTGGCAAATGTTCCAGTGGGGCTTTGTTTTTGTTGGGATGTGTCATGTGTGTGCACATACGGACCAGCGTCTCTGCTGAGTTTAAAAAGTTCAGAAACTTTTTAAATGGTTGATAAAAATCTTGATTTTTTTGTTAATTTATCTCAACAAAATTCCACTGGAACTCAAATAAATAAATAAATGTATAATTCACATACATTATGTTAGTTTTAGGTGTACAGCATATTAATTTGATATTTGTATGTACTACAAAATGATCACCACATTAAGTCTTGTTAACATCCGTCACAATACATAGTTATAAAGTATTTATTCTTGTGATAAGACTTAAGATCTACTTTCCTGTCCTGGCCATTTTGGCTCAGCGGTTAGAGCATCAGCCTGCAGTCCAGAGAGACCCAGGTTCAGTTCCCGCTAAGGGCATGTGCCTCAGTTGCAGTTTGTCCCTGGCCCTGGTGGCAACCACTTGATGTGTCCCTTTCATGTCGATGTTTCTCTCTCTCTCTCTCTCTTTGTCTCTCTCTCTCTCTCTCCCCCCCCCTCCCTCCCTCCTACTCTATCTGAACAAAAAATGGAAAAATGTCCTTGGGTGAGGATTAAAAAAAAAATCTACTCTCCTGCCTAGCTGATGTGACTCAGAGGTTGACCGTCAACCCATGCACCAAGCGGTCGCTGGTTTGATTCCTGGTCAGGGCACATGCCCAGGCTGTGGGCCCGATCCCCAGTGGGGGCCATGAGGTGGCGGCCAGTTGATGTTCTCTCTCACCAATGTTTCTATCTCTCCCTCTCCCTTCCTTTCTCTCTAAAATCAATAAAGAAAAAAAAGTAAAAGAAAAAAATGATCTACTCTCTTAGCAACAACTGTAAACCTACTTTACCCCACCCTGTATGCAATACACTATTATTATCTACAGTCCCCATGCTGTTCATTACATCCCTGTGACTTACTTATTTTAAAACTGGAAGTTTGTACTTTTTGACCCCCTTCACCCATCTTGCCCACTCCCCAACCCCAGCTTCTGGCAACCATCAATCTGTTCTCTGTATCTCTGAATTTATTTGTTTGGTTGTGGTTGTTGATTTTAGATTCCACATATAAATGAGATCATTTATATGGTACTTGTCTTTGTCTTCCGACTTTTTTCAATTAACATATTGCCCTCCAGGTTCATCCAGATTGTCACAAATGGCAACATTTCATTCTTTTTTGTGACTGAATAATATTACATTATGACAAACGACAAACTTTTTTTAAAATTTTATCCTCACCTGAGGACATTTCTCCATTTTTTGTTCAGATAGAGTAGGAGGGAGAGAGAGAGAGAAACATCGACATGAAAGGTACACATCGAGTGGCTGCCACCCGCATGACCCAACCAGGGCCGGGGACAAACTGCAACTGAGATACATGCCCTTAGTGGGAACCAAACCCTGGTCTCTCTGAACCACAGGCTGATGCTCTAACCGCTGAGCCAAACCGGCCAGGGCCATTATGACAAACTTTTTAATGTTGTGCCCCAACCCTTATCTTCTCTACAAGCCTTGTAATTTTTATTGCATGACTTTGCATAGTGCAGTGGTTTTTAGATAGGCATCTTTATATATAGCAGAACTGACTATATGTGTTTATTTAGAGAAATTGAAAAGCATCTCTAATCCATAGGATGCTTTTAAATTAGAAACTCTTCTAATCAAATGAATTTGTGGTTAATCAACATTTTAAGGTATAATTTTTCAAAATTAAAATTTTTTTCCTAAGGTCATATAAATAAATTTTTCAGAATTCCATACACCATAAGGTTTGAGAATATATAGATTCACTTTTTGTTGAGCTACATGATCTATGAAACCCTATGAACCTGAATTCATATAAATCCCTTAAAGTTAAGGAAAATATATGCTTATTGAGCATATCCTTTTATTTAGTACTGTGTTTGAAATACAAATTTAAGTGTAAATATATGGCTTTATGCAGGTTTGCAGATCGAGGACACAGTGTAGTCGGTGTGGAAATCAGTGAACTTGGGATAAGGGAATTCTTTATGGAGCAGAATCTTACTTATTCAGAAGAACCAATCACGGAAATTCCTGGAGCCAAAGTATTCAAGGTTTGTTTTGTTTTTGGTAAATAATTATTTCCATACCCCTACAAAAACATTTTCCTCAGCATGAGTGAGGGTACTATAGAAGAGTATATAAGATTCTCCTAGACATTATATAGTGTAAGGAGCTAGGGCTTAAAAAGACATGGGACTTCCGGTCAAGATGGCGGGTAGGTAAACGCTGTATCGAGTCCTCCCACAACCACATCAAAGTTACAACTAAACTACAGAACAACCATCATTCAAAACCGCCTGAAATCAAGCTGAATGGAAGTCCTACAACTACGAAATTAAAGCAGCAGCCACATCCAGACTGGTAGGAGGGGCGGCCGGGTGACAGGCTGGTCCCACACCCAAGTGTGGCAGATAAAAATCAGGAGGATACCTCGGCTGGGAAGGTCCTTCCTGAAGACTGAGGGGTCCCCATCCCACATCAGGTGCCCCACTCAGAGTTCCAGTGCCAGGAAGAGAAGTCCCCATAACTTCTGGCTGGAAAAACCAGCGGGAACTGAGGCTCAGGGAGGCTGAAGCGGCTGGAGCCCCAGGCAGCTCCTTAAAGGGCCCCCGCACCGACTTATCGGACTCTCTCCCTCTAAGCTCGGAGGAGAGGCAGCTCGAGGGGCACCAGAGACATACAGGGAAGAACTGAGCTGTTTGGCACTGGAGCGAGGGCTGGAGAGGGGGCTTTCTCCAGGACAAACGTGCTGTCAGAGGCCTTTGTTCCTTTGGTGAGCCCTTCCCGGGGGCAGCAGACAGTCGCCATATCTGGGACTCCAGCAACCTGGCTCACACTGGTAGCCCTGCCCTGCTGACTCCATGAGGCCCCGCCCCGCCCCACCCCACCCAACTTTCAAGTCCACCAAGCTGTTGCCACTTGCTTAACCATAGGATTGGCCTGTCTTGGGTACTGCTTCAGGTTTTTCCTAAATTCTTTCAAACGAGCAGCATCTGGTCTCAGCTAGCCCCATGCCTCTCATTAAGTAATAAACAAACACAGGGAGGCAGCCAAAGTGAGGAGACAAAGAAACAGGTCCCAAATGAAAGAACAGAACAAAACCCCAAGAAAAGAACTAAGCGAAATGGAGATAAGCAACCTAACAGATACTGAGTTCAAAATACTGCTTATAAGGATGCTCAATGAACTTAGTGAGAACCTCAGTGAACTTAGGGAGGGCCTCAAGAGCATAAAAAAGGACCAGTTAGAAATCATGGATACACAGTTGGAATTGAAGGAGGCATTAACTGAAATAAAGAATAATTTACACAGCTTCAATAATAGAGTACGTAAATCCAAGGAGCAAACCATCGATTTGGAATATAAGGAAGGATAAAATGCCCAATCAGAACAGCAAAAAGAAAAAAGAATCCAAAAAAATGAGGATACTGTAAGAAGCCTCTGGGACAACTTCAAGCGTGCCAACATTCGCATCTTGGGGGTGCCAGAAGGAGAAGAGAGAGAACAAGAAATTGAAAAGCTGTTTGAAACAATAATGGCAGAAAACTTTCCTAACTTGGTGAAGGAAACAGACATACAAGTCCAGGAAGCACAGAGAGTCCCAAACAAGATGAACCCCAAGAGACCCACACCAAGGCACATCATCATCAAAATGCAAAAGGTTCAAGACAAAGAGAGAATCTTAAAAGCAGCAAGAGAAAGGCAGCTAGTTACCTACAGGGGAGTTCCCATTAGGCTGTCAGCTGATTTCTCAAAAGAAACTTTGCAGGCCAGAAGGGAGTGGCAAGAAATATTCAGAGTGATGAAAACCAAGAACCTACAACCAAGATTACTCTATCCTGCAAAGCTGTCATTTAGAATCAATGGACATATAAAAACTTTCCCAGACAAGAAAAAGTTAAAGGAGTTCATCACAACCAAACCGTCATTATATGAAATGATGAAGGGTCTGTTTGAAGAAAAAGATAAAGTATATGAACAAACAAAATGGCAATGAATACATATCTATCAACAATGGAATCTACAAACAAAGTGAACAGGTAGAACAGAAACATTCTCATAGATACAGAGAACATTTTGTTGGTTGCCAGTTGGGAGGGGGGTTGGGGGAATGGGTGAAAAAGGTGAAGGGATTAAGAAGTACAAATTCATTGCTAGACTGACAAACCTCAAAGGGAAAGGGGTTGGGGTGGTGGTGGGAAGAAATAAACCAAAGAACTTATATGCATAACCAATGGACACAGACAATAGTGTGGGAAAAGGTGGGAGGGCGGCGGGAGTGGGGAGGAAGGGGTCAGTGGGGGAAAAATGTGGAACATATGTAATACATTTTACATCTAACAATAAAGATTTAAAAAAAAAAAAGATGGATAGCTAGGTATGGAAATAGATAGAAAATCTGATGCCAAAGCCTATCTGTACTCATGTTTTTGGTTTGGGTTTGTATGATTTTTAAAATATATTTTTATTAATTTTAGAGAGAGAGAAACATCAATGCGAAAGAGAAATATCTATTGGTTGCCTTCCATATGCACTTGACCGGGGATCAAACCTGAAACCTGGGTATGTACCCTGACTGGGAATTGAACTGGTGACCTTTTGGTGCATGGGACAACACTCAGCCAACTGAGACACCCTGGCCAGGGCCTGTATGATTTTTTAAATTTACAAATTGGCATCTTTGAAAACCTGTTTTGTGCCACACCTTGCATGAGGCATTGAAGAGATAATACAGTTTCTGTCCTAAAGAATCCTTTAGCTTAGGAGAGAAAAGAGAAATGCAGAGAAAGCTGTTTGTCATACACGAGCTAAGTGTAATGGCACAGAGTATTAAGGGAACAGAGAGGAGAGTTACCTCACCCAGCCTGCAGGAGCTTCCTGAGGCACAGACTGAGAGGGCTGGGACAGGCAGAGTCACATCCATGGTCTCAGATGCCCTCTGAAGCTGGTACCTTCAGCCTGTGCAGCAAGTTTTAAGTGGGAACATGACACGGCCAGATTTTCCTCTGAGCCAAAAGAACCTTGAGGCCTCAAAGGTAGTACATTTGAAGAGAAAGAGCCTCCTGGCAGAGACCAGACAGGAGGTTGTGAGCAGTGGTCTAGGAAAGAGATCTTAAGGACCTGAAATGGGTAGTAGGAGAGTGATAAGGGTGCTCAGAGGAACACAGGTAGGTCAACGCAATATTTAGGATGCCAAACTGGAAGGATTTAGTGATTAATTGAGAGATCAAGGGGATGATGAGTTCACATTTCCAGTTTAGGTGACTGGTTGAATAGCAGAGAATAAAGCAAGTTGAAGAGCAGAGAAAATGAGTTTTGTTCTAAAGATGCTGAGTTTAAGAGACCTGTAGAGGGCAAAGGTGTAGCAGGCAAATGGTTTTAAGTCTGTGAAGGACAGGGCAGCACTTTGGCTGGAAATAATAGATCTGGGCGTCATTCTATGACCAGAATTATCTAGTGGAACTGCTTCACCAGCCTGAGGTAATAGTGTAGGAATAAGAAAGACCACCCAAATGTGAACAAGCAGAGGCTATTTATTCAGAGGGGGTCAGCCACTTGCATTTGGGAAAGGCTCAAAGATAGGCAGGAGTGGGAAAGCTTTATAGTGAAAAACACAAAGGTTTCAGGTGTGCCCTGATTGGGGGCTGTTGGCCTGGGGAAGCCAGAGTGGGGCTAACTAGAGGGGAGAATACTATGGGTTTGGGGTATATTTGGCTTTTTCTGGTTGGTCTTGAATAGGAGGGATAAAAATTAGTGAACCTGGCAGTCATTGACCACAGAGGCAATGGTTTGGCTTCCCAGGTTGATTGCTGCAGAGATTATAGATAAGTTCAAGTTTCCTGGTCTTACATGGTCTGGCCATTGTTGGTGCATTCTGTCTCTTGCAAAGTACTGTCAGAACTTAATTGTTTAGGACCGTAAGAGGCTTGATAATACTTTATTTTACAGCTTCCTTCCACCTTGTTCACAATCATCTAAAAATCCCAGGAGGTTACTCAGTCTAAAGAGGTTAGTTCTGCATCCAGATGCTTCTTAGGCAATGGTTCTCAGCCCTAGTGGCATCTTTTAAAGTTCCCAGTCTGAGGTCTCACTTTAGGCCAAATAAATCAGAATCTCTAGGGGTGGGGCTGGCATCAGTACAATTTAAAACTCCCCAGTGATTCTCATCTCCAGGCACAGTTAAGATTCATTGTTGTTCTTTCTACCTCCAGGCCCAGCATTATTTAGAGACCTCTGTTTGTATCTCATTTCAGAATAAAATCCAAGAGTTTCACATCCTAATGCACCATTGCTAACTTGCCCTTCACCCCCAACCCCTCCCCACCTCCCTGACTTCTCACATCCCCTGGACAGGATAGAGTCCATGTCATGGTACTCCTCCTGGATTGCACCCCCAGCCCAATTTCTGTAATGTTAGCAGGTGCATTAACTCCCTTTCAAAGGCTGCTTCTTGTTCAGTCTTTCCCCAGGCAGTTCCCTGTTCTGTCCTCTGTTCCCATATTGCTCAGGTATGCAACCAGAACAGTACAGGCCATTCTGCAGCGTAATGTTTCTCTGTACCCACGCCTCTCTGCTCCACCAGGCTGTCTCCACTGTGGTCAGAGACTGTCAAATTCACATCCACTATCTAGAACCGGGGTAGTCCTGTCCACAAGGTGTTCAGAAAATAAATGCTCATTTTAGACGGATGCATGAAAGAGAAAAGAGGAAGTCAGCCCAACTGTACTTTTCATGAATAACTTTTAACATCCATGACCTTTATCAGCCTGCCTGGTATTGACTGACCTGTGTACTTATCTTTAGCAGTCTAAATGAGGACTGCTAAAATAAATATCGCTAAAATTTAATAAGTTAATGAGGTTAACTTTTTTATTATTTTCCTCCTTGATCCATAAGACAGGTTTTTAAAAAAATGCCAGTTTAAAAAATTGTTTTCAGAAAAATTTTATTTTCAATAAAAAAATTATTTGTGGTAAAATTATATCCTTTATATTTAATTATACGTTCTCTTTCCACCACCTTTACTGTGCCCCTCCTTTCTTTTCCTTTACTACTCAGGAATCTCTTAATAAGTCAGATTTGTTTTCTTGACTTTTTTTTTACAGAGTTCTTTGGGGAACATCTCATTGTACTGTTGCAGCCTCTTTGATCTTCCCAGGTAGGACTGAACACTACCTCTGCACTTTTAAAAGCTTCGGTACTTGCTGACAGTGTTGGAGTGGGGGGCCAGTTCCTTCCTCCATCCCATCCACTTGTAGTAGCACCCATGAAGCATTGATTTGAGTCTGTTCTGCTCAACTGTAATGAGAACTTGGCCAAAAATGAAAGCACAGTTATTTATTTAGTTAATTATTTATTTGTTTTGGTTAATCCTCACTGAAGGATATTTTTCCATTGATTTTTAGATAAAGAGGAAGGGAGGGAGAGAGAGAGAGAGAAACATCAATGTGAGAGAGACTCATTGATTAATTGCCTCCCTCACCACCTCGACTGGGGCTAGGAATGGAACTTACAACCCAAGTGTGTGCCCTTGACCAGGAATTGAACTCATGACCCTTTGTTCTGCAGGCTGATGCTCTAACTGCTGAGCCAAATCGTCCAGGGCTCTGCAGTTATTTTTGTTGTAGGATACATGTCTGACAAAAAATCAACAAGGCCAGCAGTCATTGAACACGTCCTACCTCCCTAATATTTTTGTCCTTTGATAGCTTTCAAACCATGGAAAACATTATGATTCTAGACAGGTAAGGAAAAGGAAGAGAAAGCAAAATAGGTGTCACCTTCACACCTGGGTCTATAACATCTGAAGTACCAGCATGCACCATGGGGAACACTGTTCATCTCATTAAAGATTTGATTTTTCTTATATAAAATGTTGTAATTGTTTTCTTTTTCTTTCTGATAGAGCAAATATTGGCAAATTTGACAGGATTTGGGATAGAGGAGCATTAGTTGCTATTAACCCAGGTGATCGTAAACGGTTAGTAATTTTGTTTCTTTAATTAATGTTGGCTTTTCTTTCTTTATCTTTCTTTCCTTCTTAATTTGATATGCTGTGCTTTTTCTGGATTCTAGGAAATTAGCTAGACTTTTACTGGTTTGAAGTAGCTTTTTGTATTTAGAATTGAAAGACCTAAATCAAATACCATATTTGTCTAAAAAGTATAGGATGTGGCCAAAGAGACCAGAGTATAAGGCTTGTGACTCCATCACTTCCAAACTCTGTTGCCTTGATCAAAGTAGTCACCTTCTCTAAGTCTCAGTTTACTCCTCTGCAAAATTGTAATATTTCTACTAATACTGCCATCACTGCTGCTACTAACATCACCTAACAAGGTGATACTTGTTAGGTATTTGCCATGTGCCAGGCATTGTTTGAAATACTTTATGTGAATCAACACATTCTGTCCACAAAACAATCCTGTGAGGTATATGCTCTTGTTATTCCTGAAAGTGAGCCCAAGTTCGGCTGCCTGGCAATTTGAAAGCCAAACTCCTGAGACAGGTGCTGGTGAGAAAGAAAGCGGTTTATTCAAGTGCAAGAGTTTTGAGAGGATGGGGGGACTCCTGTCCTCAAAAACCCATCTTAGTATCTCTGGTCAAGCCAGCAATTTTTATAGAGTTGGTGGGAATTCAGAAGGGGGAGATTTTCAGGGGGAGTGTGGATGTGTAGTTTCTCTTGAGAAAGAAAAGTGGGAGTAAGGGGGCAGCTGATCTTATCTTTCAGTTTGCTTCAGTTGGACATCTGTGGTTTTATCGTGGACACCTGTGATTTTACAGCTGGTGTCAGTGTTCCTTACTCCTAGAACAGGCTGCTCAACTGTAACGAGAACTTGGCCAGAAATGAAAACACAGGATTCATTTAAGAAAACATGGGGTTGATTATATGCTTTGAGAAAACACAGAATACATAATTTTAATCACTAAATTGGTAGTGTTAAATCAATGTCAAATCACCATGCATTCCCATAGTACAGATTAGGAAATTAAGGTCAAAGAGATTAAATTACTTGTCCAAAGTTAGACAACTAGTATGGGACAGAACTGGGATTCACACCAGGGAGTTTGGCTTCAAAGTCCACGCTCATGATCCCTACATTATACTGCCTTACAGGGTTGTATGGGAATTAAAATAAATGACATGTGTGGGAAGGGCCTTGTCAACTCTAAATCACTATATGAAGATTAGCTACTGTTATGTTAGAGCTTTTGTAATTGACGTTTTTGGTGACCATCTTATTGTCCCTAGCCTTGTTAAAAAATAAAATTAAAATATGAGCAAGTGTACTGAGTAAAATATGACCACACCTACGTACTTCCCAACTCAAATATTCACATACTTACTTGGATTGGGCACATAAATATTGAATTATTTAGTTGTGTGGAGGCAGACTCAACGCATGGCAAAAAAAGGTTAGAAGTCACATCAGAGAAATTAAACTTTTATTTTTAAAAATTGTTTCATAAGCAAGGTTTATTCCCAAATCTAATCTTTTAAAATTAGGCCATGCCACATCTTCTTAATATATATGTATCTTCAGTGATAATTCATGTTCCTGTTTTCCCTTCTCTTTCTGTCACCACTCCTTCTTTATTTCTTTTCTGAAATCCTCATCTTCCTCACATGACTAAGTCATCATTCCCAAAGGAACTATCCCAGCCTTTTGCTTTTCGCTGATATACTTGCTCCTTTAATGACATTTCAGTTCTCCTGTTACTTTCATTCAGTTATTCAACAAATACATAACGTTCCTACTATGCTCAAAATATGTCCTATGCCAGATATTGGGAAATAACTGGACAAATTGTGCATGGTATTTGCCCTTATCATTTTTATATTTCCAGCTCTGTGCTTTCTTCCAAACATGCACGTCATATTTCTAGAGTCTGGTTGGCATTTCTTGTGTCCTTTATCCACTCAAAGATTCACCTGAGACCTCTCTGGATGAATAAAACACCATGTTTGTACACTAACCTCAATTCTGCTAAATGTCTAACTTTGTAGGTGTTTCCACTCCCTATGGCTGTTCATCTGATTTGAGGTCAGCCCCACTGGGAGCTTTGGTTTGCAAGGCTAAAATCTGCAAGGCAGTGGGGAGCAAACTGGAAGTCACGAAGCTCACTATGAGGACAGACCATGCCCTTGGTGTGCCAATAGCCAAAGCTCCTCCCTCAGAGCAGGCCAGTCTGTCCATCTCAATCTGTCTGTCTCTCCTGGCCTCTCTACCTCCCTGTGTGGGTGTCCTCTGTCCTCACAGCTTTCTCTGCTTGCTCCATTTCTGCTGCCATGTATCTGACTTGTTCACCATCCTCAGCCTCCTCAGCTCCATCCACCACACAGCATAACAGCTCCAGCTTTTGTGCAACAACCACAGCTAACTAGTGACTCCTGGGTCTCTTAATTCAGTTTCCTGGTGGATTAATCTGACTAGTCCAACTCATCATTCTGTACTGGACCAGTCCTGGCTCCTAGTCTGTATACTGATAGGCTCTGTCAGACTCAGGTCCCCACTCTGAACCAATCAGACATGGCTGAGAAGTGGCGTCAGCTGCTCTCTAAGCCACCTACTGCAAAGAACTGTACAAACAACACTTGTGGTTTATGGCATACTTGCAGAGCTTAAACTTCATACTACCTTGAATTTTTGCCTTGGTCATGTCTCTCCCCAGATAAATAGAGGGGGGAGATTGTGTTTGTACCTCTTGCATGTGCCCCCGGAGAGGTCCCCATCACCCAGGTTATTTGTTACACTGCAGCATCCCATGCCCCACAGTAGACCTACTGAGTCAGTCAGTGAGGATGGAGTTCAAGCATCTTCTTTGAGCAAACACCCAGGTGGTTTTGATACCAGCCTGGGAAGAGGAATCACTTCCCCAGAGCACAGGGAAGCACAGTAGCCCTTTGGGAAGAGTGTTCAAAGTGGCCAGGCGTCTGGGTCCATCAGGCTGGACTGAGCCTCTCCTCGTCTCCGTGAAGTCGTCTAGTCTGAGTGGCCCTGGAAGCAGGGCTCATTTTGATTCCCATCTCTATTATTTCCCAGTTTAGGCAGGTAACATAATGTGTTGAACCCGTGTCTGACTTGTAGAATGAGAATTGACTTCACAGGGTTGTTAGGAGAAATCTGCTCAGTAATGTAGATGAAAGAGAATGGAGACACAACGCTTTCCCTCCCTGCCTCTTGTCCCCTCCAGGTTTTGCCTGTAGAGAGAGTTCTAACACACTTCTTTGTATGCTTTCCCCCCCAGCTATGCAGATATAATGCTGTCCCTAATGAGAAAAGGGGTTCAATACCTCTTGAGTGTTCTGTCTTATGATCCAACTAAACACGGAGGTAAAGTCTTTTTGTTTTCCTAGTTGCCTCATTTCCTGATTTAATTTTATGACATGAATAGCATTAATTTTCTCCTAATTTATCCCATAGGAAGTATACTGCTTATTCACGTACATGAAGATAAGTCTATTTTTGGCTAATAGAAACTATAAACATTTTTCTATCTTCCCACTCGATACATATTTTTCTCATATTCCATTTCCATTTTGTTCATTCACAGCTCAAACAATGAAAGAGAGGGAGAAATGGATGGCCCTAATATAAAAGAGAAATCTCATGATTAGGAGGGAGAGAGATTGGTGGCTGTGCTATGGATAGAGCAATCATCTGTGGTGGTGGGGATGATTTGGGCAGATGCCTACGAGTGTACACACAAATACCCTCGTAGGAGGACGAAGTGAAAAGTGGACATGGGGAGGTAGGAGATGTGCAGGAAAATCTCTAAACTACTGCTATTTTTTAATTTCTGAAATTTTATAATTTATTGAGTGCATTCTTTTATAACTATCCTTATTTTGAATTTGTAAAGTGCCTTTCTTTTTTTTTCCTGGACCCATTTTGATGTATTAAAGCTTAACCTCTGTCATGGCTGAACTTTCATTTTCAGGAAGATTTGAAAGCCAAATATGAGACTTTTAATTTCTAAAAATTCCCTTTTTGATTTTTAATCAAGCTTTTTAAAAAGTACTGTGTTTTATAAACATTTATATATGTTACTATTTTTTGTTTGTTTGAGTAAATCATCTTAAAAACACATTCAAAGATGAGACCTAGTGTTCCTAATTAAGTCTGGGACAGTCAGATGGAAATAGAAATTAATAGAGACAGACATCAGCTGTGCTAATCTGATTTCAATTTCATTCCTGAACAGCAGGCCTAGGGAGGGGCCTGTGGAGAAAAAACTCAGCAAGCTGTTTCTGGGGTGGAGCCCAGAAGGGAGTGCTGTAGAGAGGGGTAGAAGCTAAGTTTCCTCAGCAAAGTGGGGGAGTGCAGGAGCAATAGGAAATCAGTACCCCAGAAGGAATCCCCAAGGGAATTTGTTAATGAACTCCATTCTGATTTCAGTGTTCCCAGTTCCCGTGGCTGACTCAGCCATCTTATCTCTGCTGGAGATGGGAACCTACCATTTTCTTCCCCTCCGCAAGCCAGTCTTTGGCGTGAGATGGTAGAAAAGAAAAGAAGAACCTGTCACATGCCCCCCATTTGGCTAATTGAGTTGTGTGTAGACTAAGTATACCTAGGTCACTGGAAATAAGCTGAGAAGTGGGCTCTCAGAATTTATTTCTCTTTAGAACTAAATCTAACCATGTTTCTCTTTTACCCAGGCCCACCATTTTATGTTTCAGATGCTGAAATTGAAAAATTGTTTGGTAAGTTATGGATGTGTGCTGTAACTTTTAAAATAGAGTCAACAGTTAACTGTTTTGAGCTGTTATCAAATTTTACTATCTAGAAGTATAAAATTTAAAGGTCAGAAACCATTTTTTTTGTAAATATTCTTTTACTGATTTTTTTTGAGAGAGAGAGAGACAGGAAGGGAGACGCAGAGGGAGAGAGGAATATCAATTGGCTGCCTCCTGCACACCCCCTACTAGGAACTGAGCCAGAAACCTGGGCATGTGGCCTGACCAGGAATTGAACCAGTGACCTCTTGGTACATGGGACGACGCTCAACCGAGCCGCACTGTCGGGGCAGTCAAAAACCATTTTATTGAAGACTATTTTATCTCAGAAAAGGGACAGATCTCTGTAATATGCCTTTTTAGCTAAGTGTGGTAATATGCCTTTTTAGCTACGTTGAAGACATTTGAATTCTTCTAGAGAGATGCTATGTTTATATTTGGCTCTTAGGAGTTATGTGATAACAACACAGAGTTCAGAAAATGAGTCTTACTATTTCCCCATTTTCATTAAAAAAGAGAAAAGTTTTCAGTACACAGTTTTGAACATCAATGGCTGTGTTTTCAGAAGAACCCCTGAATGCATTCTTCACAAAGTTTTAACCTGTTCCCCTTTCTCCATGTTTCAGGTTCGGTATGCAGTCATCAGTGTCTTGAGAAGGTAGATGTGTTTGAAGAACGACATAGAAGTTGGGGAATAGACCACCTTGTTGAAAAGTTGTATTTACTTACAGAAAAGTAAATGAGACAAGTAAATACAAGCAAGTAGCATTAAATTTCTGAGTTTTTGAGCAATTGAAAATTAAGCTAAGGCATGAAAATATAATGGATGGCCTTTGAAAAAAATTGTTCCCAAATTACATCACAGTAATGCATGTGATTTTTTAGAAAAACAACATGTACTAAAATGTTAAAGTAGCTACCTTTAGAAAGGAGAGTGTGATTGGAGGTGAAAGATTACACCTGGGTGTTTTACTTACAAATTGCAAGCATTTTTTACAATCAGCATGTATTACTTCTATAATTAAGAAATAACAGAGAAATGCAATGTATATAACTGAAATATAGACATAGAAAAACTGTCATTCTTTATGAAATTTAGAATCAGTGGCAAAATGTAACACTTGAATAAGGTTTAAGTAAAAGAAAGTGATCTAAGAAATTATATAAAATATTAGATTTTTCTATAAACCTTCAGATAATTCTCATCCTAGCATTCCTTTTCACAGTTTTCTCTTTATATAATTTTATATGTAACGGAATCAAGAAAATTAAATTGATTCAATAAACCAATCTATATGCAACAAAATATTGTTCCCAAATTGTAAAAATAAATTTTTAAAAAGTTTTTTCTGAGTTTGGCTGTCTTTGTTTCTTTACATTTAATCTTGTTTAAATTATAGTCTTATGAAGTGCAGTGTACTTAGGGCTGGATTCAGGACTACTTATTATAAAAGATTCAATATTTCTCAGTGTTACATTAACAATCATATTTTAAATCAGACATTCCTCTCAAACCATACTAATACCTAATTGATTTAGATTGTTTGGTTCAGTTTAATAGGATGGTTTGTGCTTATTATTAAGAATTACCTAATTGTGTATGCGTTGTGCACTGGATTCAAGGGGGGAAGTTTATAGACCCCCCTTGAGTATTGATGAAAGCTATAGATACTCTCCTTAGAAATACGTCATAAGCAGAATACTGTGAAAACTTCCTTAGGGTTCAGAGTTGTTGACCTCCCCGCCTCTTCTGTCCCCATTGAGGAACTTCTGCCCTAGATACTCTCTGGCACTGGTCTTATTCTAATACACGTATAAGGCTATTCATCTGGAGTATCTCCTAGTTCATAATTTTTGCTTTTCTGACACCTGTCCCCAGTTCACAGTGGGGCCTTCCAGAATCCATGACGACCTGACTCTACTTTTGCCACCATTTGAATGGACCAAGAAGGGACAGCTGACCTGAGCTGGGCCAATCTGATTCTCTTCAGAGATTTTTAGAATGGGGGCAAGAAAAGCAAGTTAACCACTTAGAGGGGGTGAAACTAACAGGTGAACCCCAGGGCAGTGAGGCAGCCACTTGGTACTTAAAGATCTGAGAAAAAGAGAAGGCTGCCGGCAGAAAGAGAAGAGAACTGGAGAGAGCCCTGGGTGTTTTCAGTTTCCGTTCTCATCCTTCCTGAAGCCCAGCTGCTCTGAGGGGAGAATAACCATGTGTTCCTGTGAGAGAGACCTCTGTTCTCTGCTGGCTAGCATTAGTTTCTCTAACTTGTACACAAAGGTCCTTAAATAATACAAAAGAGATATCCTTATGTAGTTCATCTTTTACATATTATGTATCCTCATTGAGGGAATACTGACCTTTTAAAAAATCTCAACATGGACAATATACTACATATAAATTATTTTAGTGCAACTGTATTATTTTCAAAATTTTCTGGGAATGCCATTTATTCAGGTTTGTAATTTAAATAACATTACCTGAGCCCTTGGGCCCTGACAGTGATCTGTGCAATGCCTTGCCCTGCCTAGAGAGCAGGCATGAGTGCACTGGCAAAGGTGCACTCGTAAGGTTTTCAGGGGCGGACAGAATGAAACAAGGAAGGTCTTTTTGGGTGAATGCAAGAAGAAAACTACGAAGGAATCCAACCCAAGCTTGAACACCTACCTTTGATGAGCTGGAGGTTTGGTTCTTTAAAGGGTTCATGGTATGGAGACCACAGAAGGTAGCCTGGAAGATGTACCTTGTGAGACATAATCATGAAAGGGGATTGCTGGGCAGAAGGATGAAGTAACAAATATGAACCTCACCCACAGAAAGACTAGTCCAAATATCTCCCATTCATACCGTAGTGCATGCCCATCATTGTTTTATTTTAATAAGAGGGTGTGACATAGATGTGTGTTTATGATCTTTAAAGATCTTTTTTTTAAATTAAGGTTTCTCCTGACCACTTTTTAAAAAATTAAAATTGTCTTTAATCCAGCACTGACTTTCCATCACTTCTTATTCGATATGCTTTGTTTCATATAAAACATATTACAAATTCACTAAGTTGATGGGGATAGGGTAGAATTTACATACACACACACACACACACACACACACACATATGATATTAATCATGGTCACACTGCTGGTTTGTGGCAAATAAGCATGTCCCAGGTTTTGTTTATGATGTGCAGCTGTAACATGTGAACTGAAAACATACATTTAAAAACTGTGATCCCTAACCACTGGGTATTAATAGAAATGTGTGTCAATATTAGTGTTAACTCTCAACAGCAGATAGAAGGAGGATAATGAGGGGACGTATTTAAGAATCAAATATGACATAAATTATTAATGTTTACATTTAAATAATAATAAAACAGTCTCACTGAAAATTTGGGAAGTATGGGAAAGTCTAAAAAAACAACCACAAAAGCAGCTAAGTCCTATCACCAGAGATAATTACTACTAAATTGATGATGTGCTTTCTTACCTTTTTTGTCTGCCCATACATGTGTATGTTTTCGCAAAGTTGACATCATGTTATGGATACAGTGCTATCTCTTGACCATCTTCCCTAGTATTTCTTGTCACTATTTTTTAGAAACAAGATTTTTAATAGCTGTATAATGTTCTGTCATTTGGTAGTACCATAATCCTTTAACCTTTCTCCTGTTTCGAGTCATTCAGCAAATGTAAATAGTACTCTTCTATTAGTATTGGATGAGGCTTCACTGATGATTGAGACCGTCCTGTTCCAAGGAACCTTAGACTCTAGTGGCAGAGACTGAACACTGACCATTACTATATAGTGTGGTAAGGCTGCACTGGGGGGACACACAGCTTGTAAGTGGACACTTAACCCATCAATAAGTGAGGACAACATTGGTTAGTGAGAGCAGGTGGGAAGAGAAAAAGACCAAGGCTCATGCCCTGAGCAACATGCAAATTTTTCAAATTTGAGAAACAGTAAACTCCAGGTTCCCATTTCCAACCATACACTCCAGCTCATGTTTCTGTGGGTGCTCAAAACATTCAGGCCTGAACCACTATTCCCCTCTCCACCAAACCCCTACCTCCAAGAAGCCAAGCACATGGATATAGGTTACAAAATGTAGATAGGTGGTTGGGGGGGGGGGGGGCACTGGGAAGACAGGATGCCCCAGGGGAAGGTCAAAGCTAGGGATGTCACCAGAGCCCAGGTCAGAGTTCAAGGAACCACACAGGCTACAGAGATTCACCTGCTGAGGACTTGTCCTAAAGCTGGCCTGAAACTCAAAGCTGACCAACCCAGGAAGGATTCGGTTTAGCAAAGGTAGCAGCCTTTTAGTTTTGTGGGCTCAGAATCCCATGCTAAAGCACCTATTGTCTTCACTCCTTCTCTTTCAAGAAGTTGTGCCCTGGCCATTTTGGCTCAGTGGTTAGAGCGTCGGCCCACGGACTGGAGAGTCCCTGGTTCGGTTCCCGCTAAGGGCACGTACCTCGCTTGCAGTTTGTCCCCCACCTCGGTTGGGGTCATGTGGGTGGCAACCAGTCGGTGTGTCTCTCTCTGTCTCTCTCGTGTGATGTTTGTCTCTCTTCTTCCCTCTCTCCCTCCCACTCTATCTAAAGATAAATGCAAAAATGTCCTCGGGTGAGGATAAAAAAAAAGAAGTTGCACCTCTCCTCCCTGATTGAGATGATTCCATTCTTGTGGCTTGTACCTCTGTTTTCCCTCCCATCACTGTCAGGTACAGTGTGGGAGGTCACTGTGTCATGAGACCGCATTGGGGATGCCTTCTAAACTTCATGTGTCTGCACATCTTGCCACATTTGCAAAACCAGGAGCCCACTTGCCTAAGCACTAACTCCCTCCCCAGGTTCCTTAGCTTGTCCCCCTGTACCCCCTCATCTCTGCTGTCACCATCTGAGTTAGGTCTGCATTCTCCCTCCTCTGCTGGGTGGTACTTTGCACATAGGTCCAACCACTGGCCACACATTCTGTTCTTTAATCCCTTTGCCCCAATAACCCTCAGGGCTCATTCTAGGTGGAAGCAGGAAGGGATGGGCAGGCTAAGGCAGGACCCTCCAAATGAGGTGTATTGGAGGAAAATGGAAAAAATCCATGGAGACTTTGCCACAGAAAGATTCACCATCAAAAACTCAAAATATTAGCCCTGGCCAGTTTGGTTCAGCGGTTAGACAATCGGCCTGCGGTCCAGAGAAACCCGGGTTCGGTTCCCGCTAAGGGCACGTACCTCGGTTGCAGTTTGTCCCCGACCCTGGTCGGTTGTGCGGGTGGCAGCCACTCGATGTGTCCCTTTACATCGATGTTTCTCTCTCTCTCTCTGTTCCTCTCTCTCCCTCCCACTCTACCTGAACAAAAATGGAAAAATGTCCTCGGGTGAGGATAAAAAAAAAAACTCAAAATATTAGAGTTAGACTTAGGGCATTTTTTTAATTTATCGGTTTGTGTGACTGTCTGACGAGAATTATACTGTATAAGGTATTTGTGAAAGCCATTAGCATTGACTCGAGAGATAGGCAAGATGCTTAGTACTATTCCTGGCTAAATGCTACTTTCCTAACGATGCTTCTTATAAATCCTAGAGAATCATCAAAGAAAAGAAATAGCAGTTGGGTTTACTACCTATAAGTAGAATCCTTCTAAGTATCCATTCATTCACCATTTAAAAACGTTAGTGGCAACAACTTGTGTACCAGGCATGTGCAAGGCTCTGGGGATAGGTGCCGACCAAAACCAGGTGTGGTACCAGGGCTCCTGGAACTAGTTTCTCGCTCCAGAGACAGGAGCAAAGGAAAGAAGGGGTGGAGATAAGGAGCAATTTTAAGATTGGATACAAAGGGAAACTGGACTCCATATGCTTGGTAAAATAGAAAAAGGACAAAATATGCAGGGAAGGCATGCCGGGTGGGTTGACAGGAATGTTGGGACGGAAGCTGTGTTTAAGTCTGTGGAGGGGCAGCAGAGAGTGAGGAAATGGTTGCAGAGGATGCGGAGGGAGAATGCAGGGGTCCTGAATTGTGAAAGACTCAAACCTACGTGTCTTTAGTTCTGAAAATGTTGTGTAATAGAGAAAACCTTAACCCCCAATCAAATGACCCACAAAATTTCTGTACTTTAAATTTACCATGAGAGTTTTGACAGCAATTCATGAGGGTGGATTGTCTCTGTATGTGCCACAACGCTTTCCAGAACTACTGTGCCGTTTGCCAAGGGGTAGAGGGATTACTACGATCTTTCTTTAAAATGTCAGGTTTATTGCAGCCTTTTCTGAGTTACCTCGCCTCTCGCTGCAGTACTACTGATTGCCCCGCAGGGGCAGCAAAGGATCAAGAGATGGTAGGATTATCAAAGAGCTGAGCCCTCCAGCTCCTCTCTCCTGACAGGCTAGGCAAAGTCATTGAAGGGTCTAAGCTCCCACAGTCAGCAATGTGTTGGGGGTCTTTGGATAAATTTTAAAACAATGTTGGAGCAGAGATAAGTTAGAAACAAGTCAAGGTTCAGTGAAATCCATCTGGAAAGTATCTTGAGACAGCAACATTTTATAGCACAGACTTGGTCTCCATCTGCATTGTTTATGCCATAGCCACCAGTCGAATGTGGTTACTGAGCACTTGATGTGGGGCTCGTCTGAACTGGGATGCGCTATGAGTGTACAATATACACTGAATGTTACTCAGCACTAGAAGAGAGAGAGAGAGAGAGAGAGAGAGAGAGAGAGAGAGAGATCTCTAATAATTTGTATAGCAATTTCGTGTCAAAATGGAAATATCTCTAATAACTTGTATAGCAATTTCGTGTCAAAATGATATTTTGTGTATTTGGGGTTAAATTAAATATGGAATTAAATTAATTTCACTAGTTTCTTTTTACTTTTTAAAATGTGGGTACTAGAGAATTTAATATTATATATGTGCTCTCATTATATTTCTAACCGATATTAGTTCTAAAAATATTACATTTTTGGAAGTGGGGTACAGACTGACAATCCCCAGAAGAGGGGGAGGTGGGAGAGAGATAAACCACAGAACTTACATGCATGTATGCATGAACAATGGACATGGACAACAAAGCTGGGGACAGGGCGGGGAGGGATGGGGAGGGGGGAATCAGTGGGGGGAAAAGGAGAAACATCTGTTAACAAAAATAAATAAATTAATTTAAAAAATAAATAAATAAAATAAAAGTAAAAATATTACATTTTTGGTATCCTGAATGCATTTCTTGACTTAAAGATTACTTCAGAAAGTAATTTCTATTTGATTTGACTTTAGTTGGTTTTTTTTTTTTTTTTTTTTTATCCTCACCCGAGGACGTTTTTCCATTTTTTGTACAGATAGAGTGGGAGGGAGAGATAGGAAGAGAGAGAGGAAAATCGATGTGAAAGGGACACATCGAGTGGCTGCCACCCGCACAACCAACCAGGGCCGGGGACAAACTGCAACCGAGGTACATGCCCTTAGCGGGAACCGAACCCGGGTCTCTCCGGACCACAGGCGGACGCTCTAACCGCTGAGCCAAACCGGCCAGGGCCTTTAGTTGGTTTTTTATTTGGAATGGAAATGCATTATAACCTGAAATTGTTAAATTGATTATTATGTCCCAAAACACAGGTAATTTTTGAATTATGTAACATGTAAATAAACGTTCTTTTTTGTCTTACATTAAAGCTCCTCCAGGGGTTTTAACACAGGATAAAAGTCCTCTGTTTTCTCAGAAGTCTAGCAAATAAGAGGGTGAATGATCATAATAATAATCTCTAAATGAAGATAAGTGAGCTGATATGTGGTTTTATAAAAAAAAAATGTTCATGTAAGGTATTAGGTGTGTTTTGGGGGGTGGGGGGGGTTAGGGAGGACTCCTGAAAATGAGACATTCCTATGAGAGAGTATGTTATCTCCTGTTTGAAGATTTTTGAACATAGGGTAGATTCTCTGTGCTTTTCTTGTTTTTACAATCCTCACCTGAGGATATTTTTCTATTTATCTTCAGATAGAGTGGGAAGGAGAGAGAGGGAGAGAGAGAGAAACATCGACATGAGAGGGACACATCGACTGGCTGCCTCCCACACAACCCTACCAGGGCCAGGGACGAACAGCAACCGAGGTTCGTGCCCTTGACTGGAATGGAATTGAACCCGCGACTCTTTGGTCCGAGGGCTGATGCTCTGCCACTGAGCCAAACTGGCCAGGGCTGTCCGTGCTTTTGATCTTAAAAGAAGATAGAAGAATTTAACCTGGTGCCATTTGAAGGGATTGCTATAGTGCAGTTGTTAATTGTTGTCAAACTTGGCTGCACATTATAATCATCTGGGGAGCTTTAAAAAATTCCAGCTGCCAAACCATACGCCAGACCAATTAAATCTAGGTATGAGACCCAGGTATTTACTCTATGCAACCAAGTTGGAAAAACACTGGGAGAGTTAAGAGTGTGGGCCCTGCAATCAAATAGCCTGGCTCCAAATCCCAGCACAGCCACTTCCTAGCCATGTGACCCTGAACAAGATGCTTAACTTCTATGAACTCTATTGTAGAAAAGGGATAATGAAAATAACATGTTCTTACAGGATTGTCATGAGGTTTAAATAAGATAATCTATGTAAACCACTTAATAGAAAGCAGGCATGGTGTAAATTCTATAGCAGTTATGATTCACAGTTTATTTCACATTAATTTCTCTGGAAGATATTCTCAGCCATGGTTCCCCCATCTGACACTCATTCACCTAGTGGGTTTCTTGAACTATCCTACAACATTCCTTTGCTCATACACGAATTAATTTTACACATATTCATTAAGCATCTATTTTAACTACCAGTGTGATAGAAGACACACACCTGCCTCACCCCCTTGAAGTTTAACTTTCCTCGTGTGTCTGTGTTTTCCAGTCTGACCATAAGCATCATGAACCATGAGACCATGTTTTCTGGCCATCCGTAGCACCTAGCACCCAGCACCTCAAATTGGAAACTACAGGGCACCAGGGCTGGAACACTGGGTTGTTCTAGCCTTGTCACTGACAGATTGGGTAATAGGGAAGAACCCTCTCGTTCTCAATACGTGTGTTTCCTCATGTGTTATGTGGACACAATCCATCCATGACCGTTGTTGAGATCACTTGTCTGATCACGCGCTGTGGATACCGTTCACAAATGCCCACCATCGGGCTTTCAGGAAGCAGTGTCGCAAGTGCCCACCAGGGGGCAGCTGGTCTCGGCCTAGCGGCCAGCCACGGTCGACGTCAGAACCAGCGCCCCGCCCCTTGACCGTGACCCAGGGCCGCGCAGGGGCGGTATCCGGCGGCGCGGGGGCGGTGTTGGCCCGGCCCGGAGGGCTAGAGGCGCTGCGGGGGCGCCCGGGGCTGCGCGATGGGTGCCGAGGCCTCGGGGAGCGGGCCAGCGCTTCGGGAGCTCCTGCGCGAGGCCGAGACCAGTTTGCTCGAGTGCAAGGTGTGCTTTGAGAGGTTCGGCCACCGCCAGCAGCGGCGTCCGCGCAACCTGCCCTGCGGCCACGTGGTGTGCCTGGCCTGCGTGGCCGCCCTGGCGCACCCGCGGACGCTGGCACTCGAGTGTCCCTTCTGCCGGCGAGCCTGCCGGGGCTGCGACACTAGCGACTGCCTGCCGGTGCTGCACCTCCTGGAGCTCCTGGGCTCCGCGCCTCGCCCGGCCCCGGCTGCCCACCGCGTCGCCCCCTGCGGCCCTGGGGCCCTCACCTGCCACCACGCCTTTGGCGGCTGGGGAACCCTGGTCAACCCCACCGGGCTGGCGCTGTGTTCCAAGACGGGGCGGGTCGTGGTGGTGCACGACGGCAAGAAGCGGGTCAAGATCTTTGATTCCGGGGGAGGATGTGCCCATCAGTTTGGAAAGAAGGGGGACGCAGCCCAGGACATTAGGTACCCACTTGATGTCACCGTCACCAACGATTGCCACGTGGTTGTCACTGATGCCGGCGACCGCTCCATCAAAGTGTTTGATTTTTTTGGCCAGATCAAGCTTGTCGTTGGAGACCAGTTCTCCTTGCCTTGGGGTGTGGAGACCACCCCTCAGAATGCGGTCGTGGTAACTGATGCGGAGGCAGGATCCCTGCACCTCCTGGAAGTGGACTTTCCAGAAGGGGTCCTCCGAAGAACCGAAAGGTTGCAAACGCATCTGTGTAGTCCCCGAGGGGTGGCGGTGTCTAGGCTCACCGGGGCTATTGCGGTCCTAGAGCGCCCCCTGGCCCTGGGGACCGGGGCCTGCAGCGCTACGGTGAAGGTGTTCAGTGCGAACATGCAGCTCATAGGCCAGGTGGATACCTTTGGGCTGAGCCTCTTCTTCCCCTCCGAAATAACTGTCTCCGCGGTGACCTTCGATCATCAGGGGAATGTGATTGTCGCTGATACTTCTAGTCAGGCTGTCCTATGCTTAGGAAAACCTGAGGAGTTTCCAGTACTGAAGCCCCTCATCACCCATGGTCTTTCCCGTCCTGTGGCACTGGTCTTCACCAAGGAGAATTCTCTTCTTGTGCTGGACAGTGCAGCCCATTCTATAAAAGTCTATAAGGTTGACTGGGGATGATGGACATGGTAAGGGTCCTGGGGCTGGGAATCAGAAACCCTGGAGCTGCCACTAATGAACTGTTTAGCCCTGGATAAATTACTTAATCTCATCTCTCCAACAGGGATTATTATAACTGCCTGGCAGACTTACAGAGGTTGAGGCAATTATTAAAGAATAATAATGAAATCTACCATTTATTATGTACTCCGTGTGCTAAGAAATTTGTAAATATTAGCTCATTTAATCCTTAACAGCTACCCAATAAGGTAATGTCTATTATTAATCCTATTATAGATATGAGAAAACTTGAGACCCAGAGAGCTGAAGTGACTTACTGAAAGTCACACTGACTTATTGTGACAATCACCAGTGGAACTTAATTCTGACTCCCAAACCCCTTTCTTTTAAATAAGATAATTGATGTGGGGAGAAAAAAATATGTGACTGTATATTTTTGCTATGTGTACATTATTTACAAATAGCCATTTATTTTTTATTTTTTTCTTTATTGATTTTAGAGAGAGAGATGGAAACATCAATGAGAGTGAACATCTATTGGTCACCTCCTGCATGCCCCCCACTGGGAATTTGACCCACAACCTGGGCATGTGCCCTGACTGGGAATCGAACTGGCAACCTCCTGGTGCACAGGTTGACGCTCAGCCACTGAGCATAAATAGCTAGCTGGGCATAAATAGGCATTTATTGTAGTTGGATGCACAGATAGGAGATTTGACAGAGTTCAAGAAAAAAGAGGTTTTGACAGAGTTCAAGAAAAAAGGGTATCCGTTAGTGCAACTTGCAACTCCTGTGAAGCTACCCCAGATGGAGTTACTGTGGATCCTGAGTTACTTGGCTAAGAAAAGCAATTGAACTGCTTATTCAGAAGGTAAACATGACTTTTAGAAACTGTATCTCCCCCACTGTGGAGGCATCAGGAAGTAGTACTTGTTGGTTGAGAAAGGCCTGTGTTAATGTAATTTCTAAATTACTGTAGAACACACTACTTTATACACGTGTTAGAGGGCCGAATGTTATTCCTGTTACGTGTTATGTTCATACAGAGATAAGTCACCACATTCAGTCCGTGCTAAAAATGATTTTGCTGGCCTTTGTATAATCAGTGGTACCTGAAGCACTTTTGTGATTCGGTTGTTGCCCTGTGTGTTGCAAACACTGTGTACTCAATAAATACTTCCCTTGATCCCAAGTCAGCATTTAGGCTACTGATAAGCCCTGAAACACTTCTTGAGTTGAAGTACAGCCTTGACCAAGATAACACCTGCTTAATGTTGCAGTTGATTCAATGAATGGAAATCCCAGATGAAGTGGCCAGTTACTTAGTAAGTTGTGTCTTTTTAGCTAATACAAGTATCTCAGAGTTTAGGGTCATTGGACTAGTACCAAGTAACTGTCACCTCAGAAGCAGGAAAAAAAATTTCTCAGAGAAAAGACTAGTTTTGAAAGGTGAATGTTTGCTTCAGATAATAGCTGGTGCTTTTTCAACTACAGGATTCTGTTATATCAAGAGCTTTAATAGACATAATGTATACACTAGAGATAGTCCCAAAATTATGAGTAAAATATGTTCCAAAAGATTGTGTTTGTCCTTGGGAGCTACAAGAGCTTGGTTTCCAGGCCAGTCCACAAAAGCCCATTTTGCTTCAGTGTTCTTATCATGTAGCACTAAAGATTTCAGGCACCCTGGATCACCTTTGTCAGTGCATTCCAAATAGGGATTCTGGGGACAAACCCCCTCCCCTACACTCACCCCACCCATAGAAGTCACCCTTCGATTAATGACTTTACAGGTATTCTGCATTGTGTAACAAGAAAAGTCTCAGGTGGAGATACAGGTTCAAATTTGATCATTTGCAAGAAGAGCCACTGTGGATTGATCTTCAAAAAGTTTTTAGAATAATGACATTTTAATGGCCTCCATCAGTTGAGCCAATTCAAGGACTTTCTCCTGTTTGGAATGGTCAGTGGCATCATCTTTGGCTCTAGAGCTGTGCGTATGTCTTTTTCAGACAGCGCTGGGCAGGAACACGCAGCATGTGTGGAGGTATGTGACCAAGGCATTGCTTGTTTCCTGTGGCTTACTCCACCAGAAGAATGAGGCGTGAGTCCCTGAGATGATGTGAGAGCCAATCAGAGAGGGGATAACAAGGAGTCTTGTTACCTGCTACCTCTCATTGGAGTGGGTGAGGCAGGATATGCAACATAAAGAGGTAGCAGCTCTTCCCAGGAATGGCATAATGGGGATGGGGTAGGGGGATGGGCAGGGTTTCCCTGGGGGAGATGCAACTCTGGCTGTTCTTGATCTCCTGAGATAGGCAAAGAAGAGATAATTGCAGTGGAAAGTGAAGGGTTCCAAGGTGGTGGAGGAGAGCTGGAATGACTCTCCAGAGATGGGAGACAAAAGGATGTGACCAGAAGTAAATGGAGGAGAGGAAGGTCTCTTCCTGAATGTGTCCCTCAATCACGTGCCTTTAAGCCAATGCTACCCACCATGTACCATCTTTGAGTCCATAAAGCAAGTGCAGCCCTGTCTCAGCAGTCCTCACTTCACCTTCCACGTGTTCCACTTTTGCCCAATTCTTGATCCTTGGATTGTCTCCTGTTTTCGACCTTGTTCTGCCCTCTGGATTTGCCACCTGGACTTGGTTTTGTCGATTTTTTTTCTGACATTTTCTAAGGACTTTGGTTCAGATTCATAAATCCCCCCTCTAGCAAGCCTCACCCAGGACCCAACAATTACCATTCTGCTAGGGCCTTATCTAGACCTTGCCTGGCCCCTCATTAAGTGAGGTGCAGGCCCCACCCGAAGTGAACTACACAACTTTTGAGGAACAAGCAGTATATTCCATGCACCTCAGAAAAATGAAGAAGAACCACTGATGATAGATACAAGGATTTAATCATTCTTTTACCTGCCACAGTAAGAAGATATGTATAGTGATGTTTAGAGCTTCATTAATGGATACGCGATGGTGGTGTATCATAGTTAATAAGGAGATGAACTCTTTTCTTGAAGAGTATGTAGAAAATATGACAGGGAGACTTCCAACACTCACCACAATCACCACAAATAATATAAACTGGCCCCCCGACCCAGCTCTCCTGACCAGCCTGTCCTCAGCAACATATTTTCTATTACATGATCCTCTCTAGCAATAGCTGATTGGATAGGGGTACACACCTAACTGAATAACAGCCTACTCATCAATGTCCTGGCCTATGAATTGGCCTGGGGTAAATAGGTTTTCCCAGAAATGGGCAAGGAGATCGAATCACAGTCATGTGTCACTTACTGATGGGTATCCATTCTAAGAAATGCTTTGGTAGGCAGTTCCGTCATTGTGTGTATGTCACAGAGTGTACTTACACAAATCTAGATGGTGTAGCCTACTCCTGTAAGTGTACGTGCTATACTTTTGTAGAACTGGCAGTGCAGTAGGTTTGTCTACGCCAGCCTCACCACAGACGTGAATAATGTCTATGATGTCATGATATTTACAACATCACTAGGCAGTAAGAATTTTTTAGCTTCATTATACTCTTATGGGACCACAGTCATGTACACAGTCCATCCTTGACCAAAGTGTCACTGTGTGGTGCATGACAGTAGATTCTTGTCCCTGGAATTTTGAATAGAGAAAGATGGAGCACCTGGCCGTAGCTCACTGGTTGAGCATTGACCCATGCACCGGGAAACCACCAGTTTGATTCTGGTCAGGGCACATGCCCAGGTTGTGGGCCCAATCCCCAGTGGAGAGCATGCAGGAGGCGGCCAATCAATGTTCTCTCTAATCCATGTTTCTCTCTCTCTCTCCCTCTCCCTTCCTCTCTCTCTAAAATCAATAAAAAAATAAAAATAAAAAACCTTAAAAAAAAAAAGAGCCCTGGCCAGTTTGGCTCAGCGGTTAGAGTGTCGGCCTGTGGTCCAGAGAGACCCGGTTTGGTTCTCGCTAAGGGCACGTACCTCTGTCGCAATTTGTCCCCAGCCCTGGTTGGTCGTGTGGGTGGTAGCCACTCGATGTATCCCTTTCATGTCGATGTTTCTCTCTCTCTCTCTCCCTCCCACTCTATCTGAACAAAAAATGGAAAAGAAAAAAAAAGAGAGAAATATGGAGCAAATCAGGCAGATGGCAGCCTGGGGGGAATGCTGAAAGCATGCTCAGTTAGAGGGGCACAGAGCACCTGTGAGCAAGCCAAACTCATGAATGAATAGAAGGTATGCGGCAGAGAAGTAACCACCATGAAGATCCAGGTAAGAATGGGAAGAGAAAAATGCACCCAGAGAAGCTAATCTGTGCGAGTTTGTTTTTGCAACAGGAAGCGCCTAACAAAAACGACAGTGTTGTTGATCGGGAGAAAATTAAACTTAAACCTGTGCATTTTGATGTCACGAGTAAGAAACCAATTCTGAGAGATTCATCACACTCCCAGCGGCACACCCACCACTTACCCTGGTAGGGACTGAGGCCAGGGTCCAAGCAGAGACCCACAGACCAAAGGTCTAAATATTTGAGTGATAAGTCAAGCCACTAAACTGTTGAACAAAATATATTCGATCCTCCTACCTTGATAAAGGTAACTGTAAATGTTGAAGGCACCCTTTCATTACGATCTGGAAGGCCAGGTTCCGCTTAGAATCCTGGGATGGAGTTTTTGCTCACCTTTGGGTGCCCCAGTTTCAAGAAAGCTCCTGATAGGCTGGAGTATGTTTAAAAGTCTGAAGGAGAACCCGAAAAGCATATTATTTTTGTCAGCCTCTGACAACTAGAATGTCAGCACCATGAAGCAAAGATGTTTGTGCTGTTCACAGTGGTATCCGTAGTGCCTAGAACACCGCCTGACACATTGTAGGCACTCAGAAATATTTGTTGAGTTACTCTGTGTTTTTCCCAAGGACTTTTTCTGGACGATGTTTCCCTTTCACTAAAAGGGAAGTGCTGAGTAGCTGGGTAGTTTGGGGAAGCTGGTTTAAAATGAAAACAATTAGTGGTGGGTTTGCTGTGGTGGGTGACTTGGAGAGAGCACACATGCATTCTGGTGACTTTGTGGTAGCCGGGGTTGGGGTTGGGTGAAGAACTGCATATTCTTAGTCACCACATTTCCGGTTCACCAAGCACATGGGACCCTGAAGTAT